TTCTTGTCCATAATGAAAATGAATTACTGACATACGGTTGCTGCAGACAACTATCAGCAAGTTTTTCGTTTATTTTACTTATTTTGTGGATCGCTGATTCCTGTTCGTTTATAAATAACATTGAAAATTTCGCGATGTTTCATTGCAACCTTTTCTTTCTACATATTGTCTCGAAACATTTCTGGAAATGTGTTTAGTCAAGTTAACACCCTTATATATCTCGCATCTTGCATGCTTCAGGCAGAATCAATACTCTTTGTTATCTTCCCGAGATTGCCTACATCTTTGCATATTCTCCACGCTGTTAAAAAGCCTTTACTTCGTCTTTACTAGTTTTGTATAATTTGTTTTACAGATTCATTTTTCCCGCATTGTCACACAATCTGTGTAATGCATCTTTATCTTACCATCCGTAAATACTTTAGCAGTCATCAATCGCATTCATTACAATTGGAATAGATTGATCGACATTCGTCAACTGCGCTTTACAATTAGGAACTATCATCAAATCGATCCCTCATGAAATGAAATGCAAGGCGCTTCTAGTAAATAGCAACATCATGCCATACTTCTTGTGCAGCTGTCGTCAGAACAAGTTCTGTTCATTTTTAGAAAAAGTCTTCCACTTCTGAATTGTCGTTGCTTAATCTTAGCCATTTTCTGCTTCCGCATGTAAAGGTATGCATCATCTCTGATCTGTGATCAGTTCATTATCAAAAATGTATTTTGCGTATTTCTTGTTTAATTTTCAATTCATTCATTCATTCATCGTGGAAATTCATCATGTCACTCCTCTTGTGACATTACCTTTCGATAATATTATCTCTTTTTTTTATACTTTAACATGCAACGATGAGTCATCTCGATTGCATTGTTGCAGAAACTTTTTTCTGTAGAGTTCGCCAAAAACATCCTTAATACTGGTGCATTCCATCGATTTGAAGCAAATATATTTGACAAAGTATTCTTGGCTGTTGAGAAATATGCGTTCCTCTTCTCTTCTCTTCTTTTCTCCACTTTTTTTTACCACTGAAAAATATTTCGGAAAAGATGGAAACATTTAAAAAGTCAGCGTAGCTCTACTGCCCTTGTTGCCTAAATTTCAAAGAATTTCAGAGCGGCAATGTTAAAGAATTTCTTTGAAGAATCCTCTATCTTCGTTTTTGGTCACCAATTATCATAATTTCAGTTCTCAGTGGAGCTTTAATATAGGATTACTTCATCAGTGGTTAATATCATTTTGACTATCGGCTAATTTTCGTCATTGATTTTCGCAGTTAAATGTGTTATTGTCACTCTTCCACTCATATCTTTTGGTAAACACAACGTTTCCATCGATCCATCTACCAACATCCTTTTCTTGGCTTTTTTTTAAAAAAAAAGAAAATGAAAACTAAGATTAAACTTCTGACCGGATTGAGAATCATTGGTTGATGGCTGACTTCCACTGCTTCATAATATTTATCACTCTCAACTATTGCTTACTTTCTTTTATTCATATATTTAATATCTTCTAACAGTGCATTGATAAAGTTTAATTCCTCTTTAAATGCAGCAAAATCGTATTTCACATTTCCTTTTATTACTTATTTTTTTAGGGAAAATTTAATTCGATGGCATATTCAATGTAAAAGATAACATTATTGTATCACTTGTCACTTTTGAAAAGATCCTTCAAATTGTGCAAATTTGTTTTCGTACATAAGATTTTTGCTAGAACGAGGGACACTATGCGCAAATATTCGGTCTATCCATATCGTTAAGTGCAATTTAATCTCTCTTAATTAATGCTTTGTCCATTTCTACTATAGCGTTTTCATCGGTTATAATTACGAGATTATAAACTAAACTGAATGATGTAAACGATAAGTGAAGTGTGATCGATAGAAGTTTCCGTTAATTATAAATTTTCTTGCAGTTCTGTTACTTATTCTTAATTTACACCACTTCAAAAAGATCTTAAAAGGAGAATACCTCTGATTTGTAACATTAAACTAGCATTTAAATTGACAACGGAGATATAGGATATGCCACTTTCATGAATTTCATAAAAAAGAGCCTTAGAAGAGACAATGTCCTAAAAAATATGCATTGAGAATATCTTTAATGTGGCATTGATCGTTTGGTCTCTTTTGTACTGATGCTCGTATCATTTCAAAATGCAACTGTCTTTATGAGATGGGATCAGTTGCTTCCTTCATTTATTGGTGACACTGAATATTCAGGAGGGTTTCAAAATTTTGACCAGCTTTTTTTCCGTATTTGTAATCCCGTAACTTTTTTCATGTGCCGAGAGATTTTTTTAATGGAAATTCAAATATTCAAATATTTAATGGAAATTCAAATATTAAAATATTCAAATATTAGGAGCAATTCGTCCAAGTTAGATTTCTAGTTGGCATTTCATGCCAAGTTTGAATTTTCATCACTGCATGTTTTCATTTTAAAGATATTCTAACACGATTTTGAAAAATTGGTAGGATGGAAGGGCGAAGAATTTCATTAATCCCATCAATTAATGCGACATTGGGTACAGTTAATATTCAAATTTAAAATTTTACATCACTCGAACATTTTCTTCAAATTATTTCTACTTAGTTCGAGCCGTCTCTCACCTCAGCTTTCCCCCTCATTTCCACTCCTTATCTATCTACTAATCATTCATCCTCTTTTGTTGCATAAAATTGCTCTGTTTGATATTTCTTAAGACATTCTTCTCCCGGGAATCTCTCAACTATATGTTATACCCGGATGATGCGGTCTTTGGATCTTGCTGTTGTTCATTCCTATCCCTCCCCTCCTCTTTTTTCTGTAAAATATGCACAACAGAATTATGCAAACATCTCGACTTTTTTTTTAATGTCACAATGGGTTCAAATGAGTAAATAGCTAACATTATATCTCTCTTCTGGAGTGGATGGCGTTTGTTGTCGAATCGCCTGACAGCAGTGACGGATGTGCCACGATCACCGAGATGGGCCAGATGGATCATTGCACGTTCCAGTGATGGGATATTTGGCATTGTCACTAATGCGCATTTCAATGAAAGCAAAAGAGAGAGGCACGAATTCCGCTTTGTTCTACCCTTGTTCTTCAGCTTTGCAACATGCAGCACTGTTCTTTCTCCTCTACTGAAACATCTCATAAAATAAGTTTAATTGTTTCGCTGAAATAGCACAGACAAGATTTATCCATTGGAATGTTTACATCACCTACTCGTACACAATACTCTTTCCATGCTTTTTTTATTCCTCTTTTGCATGGTCTTCAATCAATGATTTATTTAATCGATATTGTTTCTTTTTTTCCCTGTATTCTTTACTAAAATTCGTTTCATTCGTTAGACATCGAATGGAGCTAAATAAAATTCAGAATTGTCTCTTTTTTATCTTATCATTCATAAAACTAGGCTTAGTCCGCATTCTTTCCCCTGCCAGGATCATGATGGTAAGAAAGAAGAGCACGTTTGTCGTAAGCCTAAGTTTTAATGACAGGCTTCACCTAACTTTTACTACAAGTTAACGTTCCACTCCGTAAAACAGCTGCTCACTAATATAACACTTTCATAATGACTCAAAGCTTATTTAAAATATAAATTTACATGAAATGACTGAAACTTACACTTCCAGAATTCGTCTATTTTTCCACCGATATGCCTTACACAAAATGAGGAAATACATGCATATCTGCCTACTTGTATGCAAGTCTCTAGCGAACAAATCCTCTATCAGATTACATCTCTTCTGACTACTCGGTGAGCAACTGTTAGTTTGTTAACGTGGGAAGCGAAAGAGAGAGAGAGAGGTTGTTGTAGAACCTGAAGTTACAGACGACAGGTTAGCTTCCTTCGAAGTTCCTATTGTGGATAGGCTGTTTCAGGAGTTTATTTTGCATAGAGACAAGAGTTTACTGAATAAGACAGGTTTCTCTCTGTACATTCACATGCTTCTAGCACATCCCCGAATGAATGAATTCAAGGTGCTCGAAGAACTGCTGGTCTCTGCCGGTAATTTTCATTTCATAGATGTGGCATCATTTTGTCATGCATTACTTTTGAAATATTTACGTTGTGCGTCGTGTATTATAGTAAATTACTTACTAATTTACGTAAAGGTAATTGGTGTGGGGGGTGATTTTCAGGCGATGACGACTGATATAGCCGTGCGAGGCCACGATTATAATGGTCGGATCGAGGATTACGAGGAATACGACGAGAATTCTTCCGCCAGACTCTTCGAACGTTCACGCATCAAAGCTCTTGCTGGTTTGTTCATTCCGATATGTTGCCTGATGACTGGGCAATTTGGTGCTTGAATTCCCATCGCCAAATGAGTAAGTAGTCGCATCAGCTGTTTTTTCAGATGAACGTGAAAATGTTCAGAAGAAAACTTTCACCAAATGGGTAAATTCACATCTTTTACCGATAAACTGCAAAATACACGATTTATATATGGATATGCGTGACGGCAAAATGCTCATTAGACTTCTTGAGGTGCTCTCTGGCGAGCGATTGGTTAGTTTTTCCTTGTCCATTGAAGAGACTTATCAAATTTCAAACAAATTCTAATTTACGCTTCAAAAATATCATATGTGGAAACGATAATCGAAAACAGATACATGGTTGTATATTATTATTTTTTGTCTTTTTTTGTTTTTTTTTTGTCTTGGCAAAATTGATTTTTTTCAAGGACCTATTTACATTTAAGTTCTTAATTTTCGTCGTTTTCGTCGTAATGAATAGTCAGATTGCTTGAGCAGTAACTTGTTTAGGCACATTTTGTGTTCTCCTTTTGTTATCTGTTATGTTTTCTGATCAGCTTTGAGGCGAAAAGGATGGATATTTATATAGTGAATGTACATGCTGTAAGATGAATTTATTTATTTAGCTAAAAGAAATATATCTAAACACATCATCATGCATTATATATTGAATTTCCTGCGAAGCAAAATGTTTTGAATTATTAGGCAGTCGTTACCACTAACACTATCGTATTAACCCCTTCTTGCTGTCCTTATTCATTCTCTCCCCTTTTATTTCTTAAACTAGAATGTAATTCAATAGAAAAATAGTCGATGAACAGTTAAGATAGAGAAACATTTGGTTTGCTGTTCACATTGTTCGCAGGGAATCATGAGCAAGAAGCGAAAGGAAATCACAGATAAGCACAGTCAGAAACTGAATGAGAATTTTAATGTAACTTGCTCTAGGGATTGGATATTTCGACGAGGTAGATTTGGCAAAAAATTAAATGGGAATTAGAGTCGAATTTTGGAATTAAGATGAAGAGGGAAAATTTTAAGAGAAAAGCAAATAATTTTTAGCTAGCTTAAATTCAAAATATAGTTCGAAGCAGAAAAGTGACAAAATATGAGTCGGAAATCAAAATTACTGTTATTAAGAAGTGACAGTTAACAGATGAAACACTCCATAACACTTCTTAATGCTTCCTTCAATAAATCCAAGCAACATCGAATTTGAAAACAAATTAGTAAAGTGGCTTCCCCATGAAAACATAATGTAAAAAGTTGATTTTTAAGGACAGCAGTATTATGAAGTAAACTGACTGTGTTCATCTTGCTTTCATGTGAACCAAAATAAAAATACGTATCTCAATTTTGTTCGTCATTACGAATAACGATGAAGTGAAAATCGCATAGATATTTAGGTAGGAGATTGAAAAAGGGGTTTGAAGCTGGGTATTGACACGATCGGAATATGGTGAAGTTAGAACATATAATAAACTTGGGAACGGGAACTCTCTGTTAGGTTATATGCATAATTATAACCATTTTCAAAATTGCTTAGTATTCAAATTCATAATTGTTCGGTATGATTTAAGCGGTGCAGCAGTTACGAAACTTGACCTTATAGGTTTTGCAGCGTGATTCATTTTTTTTAAAATCATTCTCAAAGGGAAACCAGTCGTTAGATCCAACACTTTCATAAAGATGAAATTAATTCCAGCACTATTAGAAAGGCCTAATTATAGGGATAGGTTTGGTTAATAATTCATAAAGAAATTTAAAAACATTGGAACCAACTGCGGAACAGATGGTCGAAATAAAATACATGTTGGTTCAGTAAATATGGCTTTGGTCGTTCGAGATGTTGTATTATTTCCGTTTGTTGATACTCTTTTGCTAAGCATTTGTTTTTCTTATCTTTGTGGATATAAAAATAACGCTTTAGGTTTTATATCATCGCAGATTATACCATATGATAGTTGTTATTTTGCAGCAAGTCTTTGGATCTTTGGAAACTTTTTTCAAGTAAAGCATGATGCATTTTTGAAAAATCGAAAAAAATTTCAGCCGAAGCCAACCCGTGGTAGAATGCGTATACATTGTCTCGAAAACGTGGACAAAGGCTTACAGTTTTTGCGCGATCAGCATGTTCATCTGGAAAATCTCGGGTCGCATGATGTCGTGGATGGAAACCCTCGATTAACATTGGGTCTTATCTGGACTATTATTTTACGATTTCAGGTTTAATTTCGTCGTTATTATACGGGTTACCAAGAGAAATGGTAGATTTCAGTCGTTTCAAACCTTAGAACCTTATAATGTTCTCAGGAAATTCTATCGCATTATTTGGATCTGACAGTTCTATGCCTTATAGTTGCAGCTGCAGTTATATGTCAAGTTCTCTAGGATTCTTGTTTTTCATGAAACATGGTGAATCACTATGGAATGCTGCAAAATTTCATATTAATCACTTGTTTCATTGCATGATTGTTCGGTATCTTTCTCAGTATAGAAATGGTGAATTAGTTAACGGATTTAATTAAACCCATCCTTCCTTCTATCTGTTCATTCTCAAAAGAATGGATAGAAATATACCTGCGAAAACTGATTGCCATAAGACTCTTTTGCATTTTATCCAGATCTTATTTCAGTCAATTAGGTCATATTGAAACGGTTTCTTCGTTAACTACATTCTTGTTCCGCTTTCAGCAGTTTGAGTACTAGTTTCCTTTTTTCAAGAGAAGCAAGTGCTAGGGATCTATTCATGCACCTTCTTTAATTTACGAAATTAGTGAGATGACTAAAAAGTTAAATTTATTTAGAACTTTAATAATCAGTCAGAAAGAAAAGGTGAGTTCAGTATAAATAAGAATTCATTCTTCATTAAACTTAGGACGATTATCCGGTCCTTTATTGTTCTAGATTCAAGACATTACATTCGAAGATGCAGACAACCAAGAGACACGCAGTGCTAAGGAAGCGTTATTACTGTGGTGTCAAATGAAGACAGCCGGTTATCCGAACGTAAACGTTCGAAACTTCAGCACTTCGTGGCGTGATGGCTTGGCATTCAATGCACTCATTCATAAGCATCGCCCCGACCTCATAGAATATGAAAAGTTGCAAAAATCCAATGCACTTTACAATCTGAGTAACGCATTCGAAACAGCCGAGCAACAACTTGGATTAGTTAAATTCTTAGACCCCGAAGGTTTCCATAAATTTGTAATTTTCAAAATTTTTAAATTTGTAAATTTGTAATTTTCAAAAAAAACAAAATTCTATAAATTTGTAATTTTTTTCTGTTTTGGATAAATAATTAATGATCAAATCTTTGTCAGTGCTCTAATACCTTTCTTTTTTCTATATCTTCCATCATCATTTTTTATATGTTTTATAACTGATCATTACAGATGTAAATATCGATATGCCTGATGAGAAATCAATCATCACTTATGTCGTGACGTACTATCATTACTTCAATAAAATGAAACAGGAAACTATCCAGGGAAAGAGAATTGGGAAGGTGGTTTTTCTGCTTAGCCCAGCAGTTAACAGTTATTTTCTAAGATATTAAACTTATTTTGGTTCTGACTTGTTTTCGAAATTTACTTACCTAGTTCAGTTCTTGATATCAGGTTGTGAATGAGCTGGTGGAAAATGAAAAACTGATAAATAATTATGAACATTTATCAAGCGATTTACTGGAGTGGATTCGACAGACCATTGAATCATTGAATGATCGTCATTTCATCAATTCATTAAGCGGTGTACAAAAACAGCTTGCTGAATTCAACAATTACCGCACACAAGAGAAACCGCCGAAGTAGGAAGTTTTTCTAACACTTGTTGCTACACTTCCTGCTGTTTAAGTCATAAACTTCAATAGAAATAATTGTGATATATTTTTCCAGATTTACAGTAACTCAGTAAAGGTAAAATTACTTTCAGAAGCTTTACCATTAGTTGCCATCAAGTTCTGCCAGCCACTTTTTAGCCACCATACAAATTCCAGGAATTTTCTCTGGTCCTCTAATCTATATCCTTTTCGCAGGTTCAATGAAAAAGGTGAATTAGAAGTACTTCTTTTCACAATTCGAAGTCGTATGCGTGCCAATAATCAGAGGCCATATATACCGAGGGATGGCAAATTAATCGCAGACATCAATCGGGCTTGGGAGAATTTAGAAAGAGCGGAACATGAAAGAGAGCTGGCATTGAAAGAGGAAATTATTAGGTAAATTTTGAGATTATTGACCAAGTTTGATTAGTGTTTTAATCTGTTCTTTACCAGGGTCCACTCCAACCTTTTTATTTGTAGCGTGGACCACTAGGTCCAAAAATAGTTTCTGTTAATTTAGAAATATACTTTGGTCAGAACTTTTGACGTATTAGTAGACGTGGAGTAACATTATAATATAAAAAAAGGAATATAATTCTAATAGCCTTCGCAGATTACCGCTTGGGAACCACTAATGTATATGGGCTAGAAATTTTTTTAGAAATGCC